AGACTGGGTTCTTGTATTTATCTTTTCTCAGCCAGCCAGAAGTAAAAGTTTATCAAGGCTCTTCCTCTCTACCTGCCTATCTCTTTTCAAATCAGGACACTATAGTCTGAGGCTGGTCCAGTCATATACAAGGCAAATACACACACGTGTCACCTCATGTAAACTGTGGGTCCACTCTTGAGAGAAAAAACTTGCAGCTGTTCCTACTCATCATTTATCTTTGACCCAAGCCATTTCAAAAGGTCTTCTCCAAAAGGGTAAGGGCAGGTGCCAGTGCTGCTGGAGAGAGCCTGGGCACAGACTAGAACAGGAGGAATCCTCTATCTATGCATGAGGCATTCTTCCTAGAACTTTTTTTTTATTGGGAAAAAACAAATTGGGGGTACAAGGAGGTGAGGGTTGGGGGCAGAAGGATGAGGATGGGCAGGGATGCAGTTGCAGAGCTGCAGAAATTGGTTGGTGGGGGGAGCAGGTGAAGGAAATGAAAGTGATCCAGTGGGGACCAGATGCTACAGGAAAATGACAAGCATTTTCCAATGGTAGTTAAAGCAACTGTCTTACTGATTTGGGAACTGAATGCTGACTCTCTGGCTTCTTCATGCTGAACAGGGGCATTGATGTGAAGGGGAGAAAGGGAGGGCACTTTATCACCTTACTGGTGATCTTGGGTTAAGTCTGCTTGCCTTCTTGTTCTGTTAGAAGATATTTTCCTGTCATTTGCTCCCCTCTGGACTGCAAAGTGTTTTCCCAGGTGGGTCCAGTGCGGATGGCTGATTGAACCCAGAGGCTCCATCCTCCTTTGCTTCCTTAGCTGTCGGTTGTATTCCCTTTTTGTCACTGGTACTGGGTTCAGGGTCAGATCTGGAGTAAAACTCAGTGTTAAGGTTACCTGTAGGAAAGGGAGCAAACCTAGAGAGAACAAACTTGTGAGTTACAAATAGAGGGGTTTTGGGGGTGTTGCTTTCAGGTTTACTGAGGGAGAGGGTGGCAGAAAGTAGCCTAGATAAAATTCTGTGTATGCCCTAGGCATTTTTTTTCCTACCCAGGGGTCAGATGGCACAATCTGGGGACTGAGGAGCTCACCCTGAGGGCCATGACGGCTCGCCCTGAACCGAGGGCCGAAGACAGCCCGCCCCTGGCCGAGGGCCATTGACGGCTCGCTCCAAGTCGAGGGCCGAAGACAGCCCGCCCCGGGCAAAGGGCCGTGACGGCTTGCCCCGAGCCAAGGGCCGATAACAGCCCATTCCAAGCAGGGCAACACCCCCCATGGGCTGGCTGGTACACTCCCCTCTAATTGCCCCCACACTAATCTGGTCCCCTCACCTGACCGAGGAGTGTGTGACCAGGGACAGCGTCTCCAATTCCAGTACCACCACTTTTACTCCCCTCCCCATAAGTGGTCATACTATAATTTGAAGTAGGTGTCACTTCTCTCCCCCTTTATAAATGGCAAAGGGAACCTGAAAATTGTGAACAGGCTCCTCCCAGGTCTAAACATCTTTTGGCAGAAACATTCAACAGATCAAAATATGTGGTGCATTTAGGATGCTGGTCCTCTTGGACATGCTGCCACTGTTAAGTGTCATCAAGTAGACAACTCACAGTGACTTTCAACAATCCATTGTACAGGTGATCATCTTATCTGGTTTTCCAAGGAAACCCAAACCTGCAGGTAGCGGGGCACACGTCCCCCCCATGGGCAGCAGGGCGTGCGTCATCTCTTCTGTGCAGGTGGCAAGTGGGCGTGCACCATCCCCTAGCGCAGGTGACTGGCAGGCGATCGCCATCTCCCGCGTGTCATCTCCCACGCGGGCGGCCGGTGGGCACGTATTATCTCGTGCGCAGGCCGCTGGCGGGCGCCATCCCCCAGTGCAGCCAGTAGGCACATGTTATCTCCCGCGTGGGTGACCGGCGAGCATGCGTCCTCTCTTGGTGGGCGCACGTCATCTCCTGCGCGGGCAGCCAGCGGGTGTGCACCATCCCCCAGCTTGGAGCGGCCAGCAGGCGAGTGCCATCTCCCACACAGGCAACAATGAATGAATGGAAATCCAAAATCTCTGTAAATGTTCATTAAAATTAATAAAATAAAATTTAATAAAAAAGAAAGACAAAAATGGATGTCAAAAGAGACTTTGAATATTGAAATAGAGTGTGAAGAAGCCAAAGCAAGAAATCAAGAAGCTAAGGAGTTGAACAGACGATTTCAAAGGACAGCTTGGGAAGACAAAGCAAAGTATTATAATGAATGACATGTGCAAAGAGCTTGAGACAGCAAATCAAAAGAGTTGAACTTGCTCAGCATTTCTTAAGCTAAAGAAACAAAAAACAAATGCAAGCTGTGAGTCACAATGCTTAAGGATGATATGGGAAGAATGTTGAATAATCCAAGAAGCATTAAAAGATGGAAGGAGTTTACAGAGTCCCTGTACCAAAAAGAATTGAGACACAAGAATTTTAAGAAACAGCTTATACTCAAGAGGCAATGGTAATGCTGAGTGAACTAACTCAATCCCACAAGGACAAATACTGTATAAAGTCATTATTATAGAATGAATATGAGGATCCAAGATGGCGGGGGAAGGGTGGAAATAGAGGGGTGAGGATGGGGGTGGGGTAGGGTGTTAATCATGGAGCTGATCAAATTTGATGGGTGGGTGGGGTGAAGAAAATGGGAAGGATCTTTTGTGAAGAACAATGTATTTAAACTTTGTAAATAAAGCAGAGTAATATAAAAATATTTTTTAAAAGGTAAAAAAGGGGAAATTCAGGATACTCTGAATGATATGGCAAAAAATAAAACCGCAGGAATTGATGGAGTACCAATTGACATATTTCAACAAACAGATGCTGTTCTGGATGTGCTCGCAGGTTGTGCCAAAAAATGTGGAGGACAGCTACTGGCCAACTGATAGGAAGATATCTATATATATTCCCATTCCAAAAAAAGGTGACCCAGCAGGGTATGGAAATTACCGAATGATATCACTTATATCACACACTAGCAAAATCCTGCGGCAGATTATCCAGAAACGACTGGAATAGTACATTGATATAGAACTTACCAGAAACACAAGTTGGGTTTAGAAGAGGTCGTGGTACTAGAGACATTATTGCCAATGTCAGATGGATCTTGACAGGAAGCAAAGAGTACCAGAGGAATGTCTGTATTTCATTGGCTATGCAAAGGCATTTGACTGCGTAGATCAAAACAAATTATGGCTAATTTTGAGGTAAATGTGAATCCCAAAACACTTGATTGTGCTTATGCAAAATCTATACTTGGACCAGGAAGCAGTCATCAGAACAGAGCAAGGAAACACTGCATGGGTCAAAATCCTGTCTCCATATATCTTTTCTGTCTATATGCAGAACAGAACATTAGGGAAGTTATGAGGGCTTTATGAGGAGGAATGTGGCATCAGGATTGGAGGAAGATTCCTCAACAGCCTACATTATGCAGATGACACAACCTTCCTTCCTGAAACTGAGGAGGTCCTGAAGGGCTTGCTGCAGAAGGTCAAGGACTGTAGTCTTCAATATGGATTGAAGCTCAACCTCAAGAAGACAGATTCTCACTACTGGACCAATCGGCAGTACCATAATAGATGAAGACATTGAGGGTTGTTAACAATTACAGCTTTGTGGGCTCCACAATAAACACTCTTAGAGCACCAGCAGTCAAAAAAAAAAAAAAAGAAAAGGACAAAGTGCATTGGGAATATCTACTTACTGTCAAGGATCTCTCCAGAAGTACTGAAAAGCAACGATATTAGTCTAGAGACCAAGGTGCACTTAATCTAGGTCATGGTCTTCGCAGTTACTTTCTGTGCATCAGAGAGCTGGAGGATGACCAAGGATGGCAGAAGAATTGATGACTTTGAGTTGTGGTGCTGAAGAAGTCTTGAACATACCATGGACCTCCAAGAAAACAAATAGGCCTCTCTTGGAGAGGGTGAAACCAAGTTTCTTCTCGGAGGCTAGGGTTTTGAAACTCTGTCTTACATACTTTGGGTATGTGGCCAGGAGGGATAGATTTTTGGAGACGGATATCATGTTCAGAAGGGTGGAAGGACAGTGCAGGGAGAGGAAGACCCCAGAAGAGATGGATTGATACAATGACTAGGGAGGGGCCTGACTTTTCTCCCGTGGAGCAGCTGGATGATTTGAACTGTGCACCTTTAGATTGAGAGCGCAGTTCCATATCCACTAAACCATCAGCACTCTCTGGAAGTAGAAACTAAAACGAAACAAAACGAAACCAATAGCAATCCTGATACCCTGGCAGAGCCTCCATTTCAAAGCGATCCCATAGGATAGACTCCATAGGGCAGCAGAATCGCCCACAGGCTATCTAAGGCGGTAAACCTTAATGGGAACATTACCACATCTTTTTCTTCAGGAGTCACAGATGGGGACAAAATGCTGACACCTCAGTTAGCATCTGAGAGCTTTAACCACTATCAGGTCTTCTCTAGAATATGCTTTTTATGATGCAATCAGTGGCCCAAAAGGATTTCTAGACTGATCGCCCAGAGAGCAGAACAGTGGAATCAGCTTCTCAAATGAAGACACAAAAAATTCCCCAAAGTAGCAGGGGTGCCCCCGCCTCCAAGTACCTCCCAAGAAAGAGAGGCTCGCACCAGCCCTTGCGCGCCACCTGGTGTCCCCTCGCCGCCACTGCCTGGAAACCACGTGTAAGAAAGAGCTTACAACCTAACTACGTAGCCCGGATTCGACCGATTTAAGCCAATAGAAGAACGGGAACCGGGGCAGGGGCGACCGTGCGTCCAATCGCCTCCTTTTCCCAATGGTAGGCGGTGCTTGGGATTTACCATGTTGGGTTTGTCCGCAGCGCTAATTACTTTTCCGAAGTTTGGAGGGTTGGCAGTGCAAGCAGCTCCGGCGGTGCAGGCAGCTTTGCAGAGCAGGCAGTTCGAGCTGCGTTGGCGCAGCGCTCCCTGCCGCTCCGCAGGCGCCCGTGAGACTGCCCGGGTGGGACCATGAGTGAAGGCACCCTGCTGCCCCCCTTCGTACTGCCCGTGCTGCTGTTGCTGCTCTGGGGCCTGGACCCCGGCTCAGGTAGCGCGCTCTGCAGGACCTCAGCTCCCCGCGGTCCCGGCCATGCCAGCTCTGGTCTGCGGACAGCGCCAGAGTTGGCCGAGGCCTGGGTAGGGGCGGTGCTGGCGGGCTTGCCAGGTCCCGCTGGCCAGCGTGTCAGGCGGTGGGGGGCGGCCGGCAGCCCTGCTCCAGCGCGCTGACGCGTCTCTCTCTCCTGCAGCTGGCGGCGACGCAGTGGCCGACGTAGAGGTAGTACTCCCGCGGCGGGTGCGCCCAGACGAAGTGCACCTGCTGTCGCTGCCTGGCGCCGAGGGCCCCCGGCGGAGGCGAAGACCCCGCGCACCCCTGGGCGCCCCCCGCGCCCGGCCTGGCGAGCACGCGCTGCTGTTGCACTTGCCGGCCTTTGGGCGTGACCTGTACCTACAGCTGCGCCGAGACTTGCGCTTCCTTTCCCGCGGCTTCGAGATGGAGGATGGAGGGCGCCGCGGCCGGCCAGCGGAACTGTGCTTCTACTCGGGCCGGGTGTTGGGCCACCCTGGGTCCTTGGCCTCGCTCAGCGCATGCGGCTCCGGCGGCTTGGTACTGCTTCCTGTGGGTGGGCTTGGGGCGGGAAGTTCAGCTTTCCTCTTTGACTCCCCACCACTCACCTGACCTTCAGATAGATAGATAGATATCTCGACATGTATATCTTGATAGAGTGAGTGTCTGCATACAGTTGTTGCCTGGACCAGGTTTGGTGGGGTTTCAGGTGGGAGGTGGATTGACACAGGTGGTGTGCACAGGGAGCTCAGACCTAGTGGGATAAACTTTCCGCCTAGACTGTGAGACTCATCACCCAGGTGTGGGAAGGGAGCACTTGGCATCTGTACAGGGGCACGTGTGCATGTTGTTGAAATTCTTGAGTTTACACATCCCCCATTTCTGGGTGGTGAGTCTTTTATACCTCCAGGGCATTTTTTGGAGGCTTCCTAGGAGGGCTGGCCTCCCATTCTTCATTTGACTGAGAGAACTGGGGTCTGGAGGATGTTCTCCGAGGGCATTGTCTTCAGTAACTGTTGTGAGATCAGAGGGAGGCTGCGTATTCACATTGGCAGTGACGTCTGTCCTTGTTCCAGAATGACCCCTTACTAAAGCAGCAGCGCTCACGCAACCTACTTGGGACAGCTATCACAGGTGTTGTGCAAGCAGCGGCTTCCAAATGAGCCTGACACCCTCCTTCGGTGGTCTCTGCTGGGAACGTGCCTACCTGCCATCGCTTGGGCTTGTGCCCCATGTCAGTTTTCTTCCATCTACTAGAAGCATATATGGGTGTCGGATGGGCTGCTTTCAACAAAGCTTGGTTGGGTCAGGGCACAAATCCTGCAATGCTCCCGTATTCTGTCAGGATTGGCTCCTTTTGTATTCTGCCTGCCCTTCCCGGACATAAAAAGCTTCTCCTAATTCTGTCCTATATGGTTCTACCATCTAGAAGAGCTGTCTGGACCTTAACCATGTAATCTGCCGCCTGCCACCTAGAACCTGTAGCAAAGACAGGAAGCCCAGAATCTTCCATCTTCATCTGAGACAAAGCCTCATCTTCACTTTCTCCTTATGCAGCTGTGAGGGAGATGCGGGGAGGCCCCCCAGCACTGGCCTTCCTGAGATCCCCTTTCATTAATTTTATGAATTCTAAGCAAGATGTGAGATGCTTTTTGTTCAGCTAAGAATTGACCCTTCTTAATGAAGCAGGGGAAATGGTATAGACTGGATTGAGTGTCTTGTTGGAGGCCATGTGTTGTTGGGCACAGTCTGGGCTGTGGATGAAGGTACACAGATTGAGAAAGCCCAGCTCATCTTAGGTCTCAAGTCAAGGCTGTATCTTGCCCTGGGAGGTACTGGAAGCCCTACAACATTCCTTGAGTTTATGGCAGTGTTTAAAGTATAAGTCACATCACTGTACTGAACAGAAAACATCTGAATCCTGTTTGCTGCAGTTAAATTTCTGTCAAGGTCAGAGTTTATATTTCTTGATATCCAGGAAGGAACTATATGTGAAGGAACCTTGGGTGGAAACCTGTATAGCATTGATTTAAAACTCTACAGAGCATAGGTTTTCTGCTAGTTAGAGATGTGATATGAGCAAAGAGAGGCTTCACTTAAGTCTTGAAATTTGAAGACGACAGGGAGTTCGGGTGACCTAGGGAGTTGGACTGGTAACCCCAAGGCTATGCTGCTCGGATGGTTCCAATCTACCAGTGGATTCTTGGGAGAAAGATGGGCAATCTCCTCTCCTTGATTTGTTGTCTAGTCGCCTGTGACTCATAGCGATCCTATGAACAATAACTTTGATCCTGCTCTGTCCTGTCCTGTCTCACTGACTCTGACACACTTACACCCTATTGCCCCAGTTACTGCATCAATCCAAATAATCCAGGGTCATCATCTTCTGCACTGTCCCTCCACCCTTCAAGCATGATGTCCTTCTTCAAGGACATGACCCTACTGATCACATGTCTAAAGTATGTGAGACAGAGCTTCAGAATCTTGGTTTCACCCTTCCCAAGACAGGCCCATTTGTTTTCTTGGCAGAAGGTATGTCCAAGACTCTTGCAGCAACACAACTCAAAGACATCAATTTTGTCATCCTTAGTCATTGTCCAGCTCTCTGATGAATAGCAAGTAATTGTGAAGACCATGGCCTGGATCAGACGGACCTTAGTCTTTATACTGACATTATTGCTCTTTTGTACTCTGGAGAGGTCCCTGACAACAGATTTTCCCAGTGCCATTTGTTTTTTGATTTCCTAACTTCTGATGCCAAGAGTATTGATTATGGAGCCAAGCAAGCTGAATTTGTTAACAACCTCAATCTCTTCTCCATTTATCATGGTTCTACCAATATATCCAGTGGTGGGGGTCAGCTATGAGTCCATTTTGACTCAACAGAAATGAGTTTGAGAAAGCCTTCTTTTGATACTATATGCTTTAGAGAAAGGCACTAAGAAGTCAAGTTCAATGTGAGAGAGCTGCTGGTGGACCTCTAAGACTAGATTTTCAATTCCTACTTGAGTAGATGTTTGATGTTGCTAAATATAATGGTCAGCCCATTTCTGAGAAGCTGGGTACTGAACAATGTTCATTAATTGAAGATCTGAAGGCAGTTTTGAAGCTTCTATGTAATAACTTGAAATGGGTTTCTGAGTTGCCCAGTGGTCCTGGCAATCATTAAAAAAGAAATCCACTGGAAATAGCAGTTAGGGTGCCAAATAATATACTGCAATGGCCAAATGTACTGCCTAGGCCCTCTTTAAGTGCTAGAGAACAGTGAATATCAGGAAGTAAATATGCTTGCATACTGACAATGGCTACATGACATGTAGCATAGTTAGAAAAGTAAAAACATTTTGAAAGAAAAAAGACAGGATAGAAAAAAATGAGCAGAAGAGACTAAAACTTGTTCGAAAATGGAGAGAAGAAAGGTATATAAACTAAACTAAATGAAAGATTCAGTGTATTTCAGCTTGAGAAGACAAAGCAAAGTATGACAATGAAATTTGCAAAGACCTGGCCTTAGAGTAACTTAAAAGAACAAGCTGAAAATTTTAATGTTCAATGTACTAAAGAACACATTCAAGCCTCATGTTTTAATACTGAAGGATTATAGTTTTTATTGAATTCCTCATACCTTTTAAATACAATTTTTAAGTTAAACAATTCTAGAATTTTCTTCATTTTCTGATAGTATGTAAATTATGACTAGTGACCAGTGTCTCCTGAGCGAAGGTGATGTGTCCTGTAGAACTGTCCTTGGTGTCTTCACAGTATAGCAAAATCTTTGTTTTTGAACCTTAAAATTACCTAACAAAAACTTTTAATCTTAAAATTTATTCTTCCTCATAATCCTGTGAGTTTCATGCTCTGTGGTACAGGTTTTCCCTTAGTACAACAGGAATAAAATTAGTGTTAAAAAAAACCAACAAAAACTAAGGGGTGCTTGACCCAAACCAGGGTATGCCATATGCATATCATCACTATGCAAATAATAATTGGACTGTGAAATAAGGAAGCCCCAAGAATTGATGCTTTTGAGTTGTGTTGGTGAAGAATATTGAATATACAGTGGATTGTCAAAACAAACAGATCTGCTTGAAGAAATTGTAACCAGAGTGCTCCATAGAAGCAAGTCACATTATCCGAAGGGGTTGGTCCCTGGGGCATGACACCATGCATGGGAAAGTAGAGGGTCAGGGAAAGAGAGGAAGACTGTCAGATGATGGATTGACACAGTGATTGCAATAATGGGTTTAAGCATAGCAGACGTTGTAATGGTTTGGGATTGGGGCAAGATTTTGTTAAATTTTGTTTGCAGTGAGTTGGAGCTGACTCAGGGATGTCTGAAAACAGGAACTTAATGCTGAAGTGGCATTGCATATTGTCTTCATCAGTTGTAGTTCTCAGCTGTGTCTGAGATTGCTTGGTGATAATTTTGTTTTAATCCAGTTGTTTGGTGGGAAGGCACCGAGAGGCTGAGGTATAGAGTTGTGTGTGTCTGTTGAAACAAGTTTGCTAGAAGTTTTAGGAAAAGTAGTTTTGATTCCCAAGGGTGGGACATTTTCAAGCCCCTTTATATCCAAAGAGCCATTTGACAGGTCTGTAAAGGACCAGATAGTAAAAGCTTTAGATTTTTTAGGCCATATATTTTCTGTTCAAACTGCTTTGCTTGTCGTTTCCCAGGTGTACTCTCCTCTTACATCACTCCAGGGCTCAGCTGAGCTCCCTTAAGATGCTTTGGGCACCACTACATGTAAGTTCTTGGTGGTGGCCAGTAACCACAAGCAAGGGCATGTAAATAGATGTTCTACTATGAATTTTTTAGTTGTCAGTGTATGAACAAAGAAAAGGAAGCACAAGATGAAGTGATAATGAGCTGAAGTGTTTTTGCATAGATTGCATTCATGACAGTATTAACAAAAGGGCCACTGGTGCAGGTGCCAGTTTGTGCCAGGGGAGAGAGCTTTGCAGCATTTGTTAGGGATAAAGTGAGAAAATCCATCTGCACACTCTGGCACATGGGCTCACAGCTTCTGACCATGCTTTTGTTTTTTCAGAAGATGAAACTATGAGTGAGTTCTGGGATAGACATAGGATCCTGTGATTAGGTGGGTTCCTTGACCCCTTCCCGGGATCAGACACAAAGGGATATGCCACACGGCTCCCACATAGCTAGTTAGTGAAATACAGTGCAGTTTTGTTAGCAGCACTTGAGTAGGTCCTAGTATTTTGAAGACCTCACATACAGTGTGGTGCTGTCTCCATACTAAGTTACTGGTCAAATGGTGGGTTTCCCCCCTCCTGTATCTTATATTGGTTTACTCACGAAGGTTGTATACATTGAGTTTCATGCTACTCTTTATGCATAATGTGTTTCATACAATTATACCCATGCTTATGTTTTATAAACAATCACTACTGGGCGTTGCCCATCATTACCCAATCTTATCAGGTCCCTGCAGGATCCTTCCTATTTCCTTCACCCCCACCTTCCATCCACCAAACTGCAACCCAGTGGTTTCACCTCTACCCATCCTCACCCCTCTGTT